TGGCCTCTGAATAGTCAGTTTTGGCACTTACTTAAGTATGACTTGTGCAATGTCAAGTTCTGTCTCAATCTCAATGTGTTTCTTGCTCTTGACTTTCCGGCTTCACATCAGCTGCTGTTCTTCCCACAATTTCTGCCAGAGCCATTAGAGACTAAAACGGTAGTTCCAAGTCCTCACAAAGTGCAAGAAGCATTCTTGTGACATTTTATTCAGTATCTTCCCAATTTTAAAAGTATCAGTGTACATTACCACTGTCCAGTAGAGCAGATAGTCTTTGAGCACAAGATATACAGATTTCCATTCTTAAAAACTAGAGTCCGCATTCTGACAATGATAATCATGCAAATAGCAGAGGATTTTGAGCAGAAGTTGTTATTTGGGCTTGTCATTAATTAGAAGCCTGCATATACTGTAAAGGAAAAGGTCATTGAGCTGTTTAAACTTTTAAACTTTGAAAAAACAAAACAAATCAAAAACAAAAACAACCAATGTTTATTCAAGTTTTAAATAGATACAAATTCCTAATGCTTGTCAATTCACAGGGGAATGCTGCCTCAAGAAAACAAGGACATTACAGACACTTGTATATTTCCTTAAGGAAAACTTTATTTCGGAAATGTAACAATGAGATCTGTGGTTCTTATAGCTTTTTTTTGTTGTGCTAAAGGGTAAAAAACTTTTGGTGGCAGGTAAATTCCAGCCTGTCCTCATATATCAGAGGGGCTGAGTTGGCTGGGTTTAGATTCTGAATGATGCCCAGTTTGGCCCTGTAAGTCTCGTTGCATTCAACACATTGAACTATTATGGATGCACAAACAGCTCAACACACCTCCAGACTAGTAGATTAATGGCTGACACAGTTTACTGAAGCAACAGGAGTAGAGGTTCTTTTGGATTGCTAGTGATAAGTACACCGTCTGAAAAGTATGTGCAAATACCAAGAATATGACTAATACAGCCAACTACAATTTTTTTTTTTTTTTAATAAGGGGTAAATTTATTTATTTATTTATTTATTTATTTATTAGTTTTGGGCAATGCTAATCTGTTTTGGGAAACATGTTGCTTGCAACTAAAAGGGATCTTATTTTCCAGGGGACAAATAGCAATTTTCATAAATCAGCTACCTAAATTTGATGGTATCTAGCATCACTTTGACATTTTAGGATGTAAGTGCATTAGTATATTGCAGTGTTTTGTTTACAGAAATAAAGCTGAGATGGTGATTTTAGTCATGCAGAGATTTAATATGAACACAAATGAACTTTATCATAGAAAATGTGAAGAATAGCACAGAACTTCTGGGGCCTGATTTTATACTTCCTTATATATATTTTTTTAACTGCATTAATTCACTTACGTAAATTCTTATTAATTTGTATGGCTTGGTGCTTGTTCTTACTATTTATGGCAACAAATACATACAGACCCAGCTTGAGAAGAGGACAATCACTGGTCACCAGTTCTTGGCTCATAGGCAGCACGTCTAGGCAACCAGCCTAGGAAAAATTCATACTTTGACATTTTATTTCAATACACGGGAGTTTCTAATCTCACCACCAAGGCTCCACACTGTTGCCAGCTCTCTCAGCTTCCCTCTCAGCTCTGTGAGGACTTACTGTGAATGCTCAGTTGTCTGGGTAAATCTTTTAGAGATGACTTTTTGATGAACAGGGAACTACATCACCTTGCTGCTTCTAAATTCAGACTAGTATGTAACTCTTAAAAATGCAAAGAAAATGTCAGAAGTGTAAAAGTTTCTGTTTACATCTTTACCTATGACTTTTGAGACTGTCAGGGACTCTATTAATAAAAACTAGTAAATTTTAATGTGAATTATACAAGTAGTATCAAAATAGTGCTTAGATGAGGCATAGTTCTAAAATTGGAAATCTGTTCATGAACAAATTTCATCAGAAGAAAAGAAGGCTACGTAGAAATACAGGAACCACATTAAAGAAGGCTGTAGCACCTCTGAAAAATTGATTTAAGCAATACAATAAGTGTAGCACATGCCAAAGAAATAGGTCTATATTACTGCCCCATTCTTCAGGTGAGAAACCTGAATGGTATGAAAAGTATAGCATGGCAAAGCCTGTGTGGAGACCCATAACACAGTTTCAAAGGCTTGTGTAGGCACAAACCTGACTAGTCACGTGTTTCAGTGTGAGGCACACATGGCATTTTCCAAGAAGAAGGCAGTACTTTTCAGGGTGTTTACATGATGGAAAATGGCAATAGGCAAGGTTGCAAGAGGCAAGAGAGCTCAGCTACAGACCAAATCTCTGGAAACATGCTTTGAATTTGAAACAATGCACCTTTATACATGTTCATGTATACATGCAGGAATGCATAATGCTTAAATTTTGTTGGTTTAGGAATGTCTCTTGCATTAAGGTGCAATGCTGCTATGGCGATTGTAGCCTTCACACCCAAAACTTCTAAAGGTACTGTAGTGACATGGTGAACATTTATCCCACAAGAGATGGGCAGGCAGCTTGATAGCAAGGTTTAGGTGAGGGGGATGAAGTGTGTGTTAGAATCTGGGAGCTGAATAAAGGAATTGTGAAGGAAAGACTAGTGAAAACCTAGTTAGAAAGCCACTAACCAAGCAGAGTGCAGTATGGAAGAAAAGGTTGCCAGAAGCTGGAGGGAATGAGCACTTATGTGTCTGTAATCCTGTGACTGCTATTACCCAGAAAGGCTTGGGAGTGTCACACTGAATCCTCTCCAATACCATTTTGGGAATCTGATAAGTGACTATTGTTACTTTTTGCCCAAAACAGAGAAGCCTGAGTATAATTAGACAGAGGGTGTGCACTCCACCACAAACATGCCTGGGGTGCTTCATGTTGTGATGGCATGTTTACAATTCTGTAATCTTTATCCTATGTAATTTTAAGAATTGTTTTTAAATGCCTAACACTAACGAGTGCCCTGACTTCTCAAAGCATAAGACAGAGGGGAAGGATACACTCAGTTTCCTTTTTAGCTGTTGTGGGATGGAAGGACACAGCATTGTTTTTGGTAGTCCAACATTTCTACTCCTGCACTGAATCTGTTTCCACATTCAGAGAAGTCCAAGCTGTTCCCAGCCTCTTCTCCTATCCTGTCTCAGTTCTGGTGCAGGTAAGTGGAGAGTAAAGTTCCTTTTCCTTACCTGGCACATCTGCATCTTTGTGTATAGGTGAAGCTCTTCAATCATTTTCTTAGGAGTTGGAAGACTTCAGAAAGAGTGCTGAATGATAGCTTAGCAGGGAAAAAGTTGTGGGCAGGAACATCATGAGTTTTATTATTCTGAGGCCTTAGGAAGGAACACAAACAAGAACACATTACAGGATTAAGATACCAATCACTAATCATTATTTATAATTAACCTTTTAATGTAAGATTCATCTGTGTACTAAAGAGCACTGATAAAACTGTCTTTCAGTTGCAATCAGCTTTTGATTAAGTGATAGTGTGAGGAGACGTATACCAGGACTTCAGGCAGAGGGAAGGGAAGTAGGAGAAGAGAGAGAGAGAAAGAAAAAAAAAAAAAAAAAGTAACATGATGAGAGATTTGATAAAATATCATAGCATATCTCCATAATATAAATGCTAATGACAAGGGACAAGTTCAGAATTGATGCAAAGCTGTAAATTCTGGAAGTGGGGAAAGAAAAACTAGAGGATGATTCTGTGAGGGAGGAGACAGATGAAAGGAGATTCTTGATGGAGGAGTGAGTGCCGAGATGATAGGGTGGAAGGTGGGAGAGATACACAGGATGCTGGAGGAGGGAGGAGATTATCTGGGAAGGAAACATAAGTAAAAGGAAGCACATATAGAAAGGAAGACAGAGGGGAAATCTGGCAACAAGCTGGATGCTGCAGCTGTAAAGGAAGCCACCAACAGGACTCCAAAAAGACCAAAGGTAGAAAAACAGCATTTACATAAGTGAAGAGGTCAGAAAATATCCATGATGGAGATTTCTGGAATATTTTTGTTCCCTTCCTTTCTCTTGTTTCTTCATTTTCTGACTAACTAGAGATGGAACATCATAGGAAACAAGGTAAAGAGAAGAGTCTTATGCCATTGGGTGCCTCTTGAGCTACTACACGTGGCAAGTAGCTTTATAGTTCTTGTCATACTAACTCACCTCAGGGTGCTGTTAACCCTCTGGAACAGCTTTTGTTTAATTATGAATGTACATCTCAGACAGGCTGCCCACTGTTGCTATTTGCTGTAACTGTCTGGAAGGAGGTGCTTCCATCTGTTTTTCAAATCCCCAAATTAATAAAACCCTTAACAATTAATCACTGCTATGATAAAAGGATCTTGCAAGGATCTGAAAAGGAAGGCAGAAGGAAGCACTAACACTGTCACTTGACTTATATGTTCTTTTAGACAACAAAGCTCTGTATCAAAGCCTGTGAAAGTCATTAGAAAATTCCATGAATTCGAACAGCTGCATGCACGGCTGCGATCCCTCATTCTGACCTGTCTCTGTGCTTTATGTAACTAAGTATAATAAGCCCAAATCTGAAGAGTTATATGTAGTATGAAACTCCTTACCTGGCTTCCAGAGTCTTGTGAGTATTAAGTAGGATTAGTAGGATTTAGACTGTGTTTTCAAAGAGTTATTGCAAAGACCAAAGTCAATTAGGCTTGTTCTGGATTGGCAACAGGGAGCTGATACATTGCCTCAAATTGCTCGGTTATTGCAGAGGGTAAGGAGTTCAGAGGCAGAGGCTGATGTTGAAAGGACTTTTTGGAGCTAGTCTTTCTTGCAAAGCAGAAGGGTGGAAGAGTGTTAACTTTGGCTGAGAAGTCATACCACTTTCTTATCACTTGAGACAGTAAGGAGTTTAGAAGGTCTCTGCAACTTTCTTTTTCTCTTTCTATATACTCTATATGAGTCCATTGACTCATATCAGCCAGAAGGCTGATATCAGCTCATAGGCTGCCCTATGGCAGCCTAGGTTGCTATCAGGTTGCTACAGAATTTTTTTTTTTTCTTCTGTTGGTAAGGAGCTAACTTAGCTGGCTCTTCTGCAACTCTGCAGCTCCTGGTGGCAAGGGTTGTGAGAGCAGGTCTCCCTCCACACAGGTATGTAAACCTTCTCTTGAACTAAATGCAGTTTATCAGCACAGAGCTGGACATTGTATTGGTATCATGTGAGCATGCTATTGCATCCTGTACTCTTATATGTTAGAATTATTAAGATCAAAGACAGATATATCAGCCTCTATTTCTTGCTTGTTTAAAATTATATAAAGAGCCTATTTACAAAAATTTAGCAAGAGTAAATATAATATTAATCAAAATATTTAATTGTATATGAATATATTGCTAACAGCAAGTTACAATTAAAAGGAAAATAGTCAAAGATTAAACTGTTTATTAGAATTATATATAATTATTTGCCTGTGAATAATTATTTTGTATATAAAATTCTGTGATACAAAGGACTATATGTATTTATTATAAAAATATGAAAGAAAAGAAATATCAAGTGTATGGCTGATCTTAAATGCATACATTTTATATGTGTTATGAATCAACATGAAGATACTGACATAATTATTAAATACAGGAATAGGCAGTATATTTACATGTCTGTGTAGGTTTAAAATTATAATTCATGTCTAATAAAGATGCTGATGTAACATATCTTAAATTCATTTTGACATGAAGTCCTGAGATCAGGTCAGTAAATACAGAATAATCATAAAACCTTAGAATCATTTAGGTTAGAAAAACCTTCAATATAATGTAAATACTAATAACTTGTGCTACTTAAATAATCTGATTCTTTCATATATGATGTAATCACTATAATATTAACTAAGGTTTAAAAAAAAATAAATTTGGTAAAAATATCTTTTATATATAAGTGTAGTCTGTAGCTGTCCAGTGTTGGGGATTTTTTTCTGTTCTCAAGTTATATTTCATAAATGTTTATATCATGGGCACAAAATGGTCAGAAATTGAGGTTTTTTTTCTCTCTCTCTCTTTTTTTTTTTTCAAGTTAAGTTATTACTTTTTGGAACTTCTTTGTGTGTAACTGATAGTTATATGCATATTTCTAAAATGTGATTTTAATCTGAAAGTATAGTGTCAGATTTTAGCATTGGAAAAGTATGTAATTGGAGAAGTTCAGGGTACCTATTATCTGAGTGTTTTATTCATTGCTAAAGTACAGGAATCACCACTAATACTTTTTCTACTGATCTGTTCTTCATAGTTGTTAATGTTTCCTAATATGCAATAACTCTTCATATATTTTCCTAATCTCTCTAGATCTTTAACTGTTGCCAAGGTATCTCTTGTAGCAAAGACAATTTTATATTTTCATTTCTTGTGTGTGTGCTTGTGTGTGTGTGCTTGTGATCTATGTTATATATTTGGATTGTAATAATTAAATATCTTTTCAAGAAAGATATAAAAAAGTTGAAAGATCTTTCATTGCCATGCTCACAAAAGTAGCACAGTAGTACTTCAAGCAGAAAAATAAACAAACAAGCAAAAAAACCCACCTCCTTTGCTATAAGAAAATATAGTAAAAGTTTCTATTGTATAAAGTTGTATAATTGAAGCCTAGCTCACCAGGTCCACAGGGAACATTTATAAATGGTAAAAAACTCTCTGGCACTTGGAGAACATATTCTTGAAAACAGTATGGGTACTGCTTCTTCATGCAGACTGGTAGGCAAGATCCAGAACTGTTGCTGCCAGCTGAAGTGGAAAATCTGGTTTTCTGAAAGTTCTGCACTGCCACTGCTGTAGTCTCTGAGATTTCTCCTTGAGGGACAAAGCTTGATAAGGAAGGAATTTGTTCTGGACTTTGTCCAAATGATTTTCTATGTTGCCCTTTCTTTTGGAAGACTTCCATCTCCCTGGCAGAGGTCTGGATCTCCTGATACTATCCCAACTACTGGTTCTGATTCTCAAAGTAGGACTGGGGAATTGTCCCAGGACATGGGACTGATTAAATAAGTCTTTCTTCTGTTGTTGGCTTGAGGGCAAGCAGGCAAGTTTTTTTTTTCTTTTTTTTCTTCTTTTTTTTTTTTTTTTCTTCTGTATCTAGGCTCATAATTTGGTTTTAATTCCTTGCGTTTGTGGCAGAAGTTAAGTTCTGGGGAAGATCTATGTGTTGCTCAGATCAAGGATATCTCTCCAAGTCTGGAATATGTCAACTAATAGAAAATTATGTCAATTTGACAGGTCTCCATCACTAAAGAACTCACCAAAAAGCCAACCTTAAAATTACCTCTTCATTCATTGGAAGCCACTTCTAAGTATGTTGTCCTTAACTATTACACAGACAAAATTATGGTGTAGCTGGAAGGGCAAAAGCTAGTACAAGGACTACCCAGTTCTACCCAGTTCAGGACAACCACATTACAGGCAGATCAGAGTCACTGCCACTGCCTGTTTGGGATGATTCATTATGGTGACTATTTCCCAATCAGATATTGCGGCAGCGAAGGAGTTTTGAATTACTCCATTATTCTGTGACTTCTAAGCCAAGGAGCAGAGTTTTGAAAGAAGAAGAACATGTCCAAGTGGGGACAAGATTTATTAAAATTCTTCTGACTTTCAAAAGATACCTGCTTTCAAAAATTTTGTCCCTTACAATAGGAGCCTCCTCTTTGTGCCTTCCTTAGGTTTCAGAGCAAAAAGTCTATAGCAGTAACAGGATGACATAGTCCTTCGACTAACAGACACTGTGCTGCTTCAGACTCACTCAGAAGTTTGAGTTACTATATTACATTTTCTGTATTGGTTCAGTTCTAAAAAATTCCTTCCTGCCTACATTCTGAACGACTCACATGAACCCATGGGAGTGGAAGAGTAAAAGTCAGCTTTATCTTACCTCTCTTATGCTTTCTTCACCTGATTCTCCTGCTAAAATCACTTAAAAATACTTTTAAATGTAATTTTGAGGACCGAGAAAGGCAGTAGTATATGCATGCTAAGAAGAGTACAGAATACATATTTCTGGGTAAAAATGAACTGAAGTAGCTGCTGGGTTTTCTATCATTCATTTTGCCCTTAAAGAACTTAGTTACAGTTTTATAGAGACACACATCACTGGCAAGAGCCAAATATATCACACTGTTTCCACTGTACTGCTGCCAAGTTGGCATGAGTCTTAATACCTTCTTAAAATGGTATTTTGAGATGCTTTCCATATCATCAAGATACATTGAGAATCACAAGGGACAATATCTTAGGTCCTAACGCTTTCCACAGAGCTGGGAAAACTGCAGTTAGGAAACACTAGTGTGTAGCTACACAGCAGTTTATAATTTTTTTTTTTTTTTTCCAAGCTCTTATGATGGGAGATCAGGTATTAATGCATCCTTGGGAGGATCTTTTTTTTCATGTTGAAGCAGGCCAAAGGCTACTTGATATCACAGAATGGCTTGGGTTGGAAGGGACCTTGGAGATCATCTAGTTCCAACCCCCCTGCCATGGGCAGGGACACCACCCACTAGATCAGGTTGACCAAGGCCCCATCCAACCTAGTCTTGAACACCTGCAGCTGTGGATGGGGCATCCACAGCTTCTCTGGCAACCTGTTCCAGTGCATCACCACCCACTGAGTAAAGAATTTATTCCTAACCTCTATTCTACATCTATCCTCTTTTAGTTTAAGACTATTCCCTCTTGTCCTATCCTTATCTACCCAAAGGAAGAGTCCTCCATCTTTTTATAAGACTCCTTTAAGTATTGAAAGGCTGCAGTAACGTCTCCCTGGAGCCTTCTCTTCAGGCTGAACAGCCCCAGAGCTCCTAGCCTTTCTTCGTAGAAGAGATGTTCCAGGCCTCTTTGTGGTCCTCCTCTGGATTCACTCTAAGCTCCACAACCTTCTTGTGCCGGGGACCCCAAACCTGGATGCAGTACTCCAGGTGAGGCCTCCTGAGGGCAGAGTAGAGGGGGACAATCCTCTCCCTTGCCCTGCTGGTCATGCCTTTTTTGATGCAGCCCAGGACACAGATGGTCTTCTGAGCTGCAAGTGCACATTGCTGATATGAGGCTGGAGTATGCCTTAGGGCATACACTGGAAAACCTTGAAGGACAACACATCTATAGTAAAAGTTTATGATGTGAGGTGGACAAAAAGCTGCAACAGTCTACAGCAGCCTTTGTCAAAAACTATTCACTAATGTCAGGTGGTAAATATTTTGAACTTTTCTCATTATATTTTCTTATTGTTTTTCAGTTTGTTTGCATTCAACTAGAATCTTGTATAGCTGGTATAGCGCACTGATGAGGGGAGGAACTAAAAACCTTTCTGGGGAGTTTGAGTGGAATCATTCCAACATTAACCATCTAAAAGTTAGGTGTCTAAGTTAAGTGAATCATTTAGGTTCTCTGAAGTTAAAGAAGTTATCAGGATGTACAAAGGATATGATGCCTCTTTGCCTAAGGTGTTTAAGGTAGATGGAAAAATTCCACTGAAGTTCCCATACCTCTCCATTGGGAGGACAGGAAACCAGTTCATCTTCCTTAAGCTGGATGCCTCCTTTCCATCTGTATAAAGTCATTATAACAAGTATTTGTAGATAACTTTAAACAAACAAACAAACAGAATCATCACTATGAAGCTTTCTTTTCATTTGTGTCCTAAAGAGAGAAGACACTAAAAGCCAAACTGAAAAATCTGAAATATCTTAATATTTCTTTCCTTTAAAATGAAGTCTCTGCTCCTTGCTGTGTACTTCTGATCTCTGCCATGGATTTTGGAAAGTAAGATGATACAAAATACCAGTCACAGAGAGAGCACCTGAGACAAAGACATTTAGGAAAAGAAAATTAAGTTCTAAATAACTATTTTTTCTATTATGTTGGTGAAGGACTTATTCAAGTCCTATTTAAGCAGTACCTGAATACTGGCGATGTTGACTCTAGAAGAGGCTCATAGGTAATAGGAGTCAAGTAAATTGTTGAAGCTGGTCCAGGTGGAAAGCTCACATTCTACTTATGTATTATATGATTAAGTGATATGCAGAAGGCTTTCATTTCCATAGGAAACCTCATTATCTTTCATAAATACAAAATACTTCATTCTGTTTAAAGGAGCGTCTCCTAATATCTCCTATACATCTACAAAGGTAAAATTCCCATTCAGATGGTGGCATATTGTACATTTTATTCTTCAGATGATTCATCTTCCTCATTGTCTTATTCAGTCAAATTAAGTACACATGAGAGAGCATGAGTGTGTTGAATTAGAAAGAGCATATTTGGGGATGGGAGGGTTTTTTTTGTCTTGTAAATGTTTAAATCTTTCATTATTGAGTAAGATATAATATTTTTTTGAGGATCTTAACTTCATGTTAAGGTTAATTTTTACATTTTTACATGTCTATAATAGACAAATGAAGAAAATTCCTGAGGTTTTTTTTTTTTCTTTTTCTATAGTTGTGGAAGTGCAGAATACAAAGTCATGTTATGTCATATATCAAAGAATTCCGAAAAGAATTTGAAAACATTTATGTGTACATCCCTCAGAATTCAAATTATATGAAACATAAAGATAAGTAATCCACCAATAGGCACAATCTTTCTTAATTAAAAAAAAAAAGGGGGGGGGGGGTTGTCATTGAGTGTTTAGATTTCATGACATCTATATTTCTTCTCATTCACTCTTTCTATATTTAGAAAACACCCCAAAGAGAGTGATTTCCAAAAAGCCCTACTATAAAATCCCTATAAAAGCCAGGAATTACATTCATCTAATCAGAATTTTCTCATTTGTAGTCTGTTTATTTCAGGAAATAAATATGGATATAATTTATATGTGGTTGACAAATGCATTTGACTTGTTCTGCTTCCTGTGGTTTTCTCTGTCCTCATCATGCATGTGACTGTCATTTACATTAGTTCTCTTTCTTGACAATTTCTCTTTGTCTAGGTAGTCTGTTGTCATATCACTGGGGATTCCAATGATATACATATCTTTTTTTCTTTCTCTGTCATTGCTCTGTTTCTCTGTCTGTTTTCTCCCCTATAACCTCTGAATTCTGATCTAAAGCCAGAGAAGATCAGAAAATGGTATCAGAAGTACCATTAAGTACTTATACTTTTTTTTTCTTTCTATTTTATAAAACAGAGAAATAACTGACATCTGAAAGTGCACAGCTTCTCCCTTAGCTTCAAATCCCTTTAGCTGTTTCTTCAGTTTAACATGGCTGTCCTCATTTCACCACAGAGCACAGCTTGCCAAAAGAGATTTTGCTTATACATGACGAGTGCAGAATATTATGTCATAAAATTAAATAGTGAAACTCTGCATATATATGTTGCAAACTGAGCCTCATTACATCTGTTTTAGTGCCTTGTAATTTACATTTTAGGTTAAAAAAAAAAAAAAAAAAAAAAGAACACCAACAAGAAAAAATGAGCAGTAGATGTTCTCCCTTCCGAAAGGAAGAAAATAGGCATGGTAGGGAATATCTCCATGGACAGGTGTGAGCAATTGGAATTGCCTTCTCTTAGAAGGGACAAATCGGTAATGAATAAAGCAGTGCAGCTAGAGAGGAAAGCTGGGAGATTCCCAATGAGCATCCTCATGACAGTATCATATGAAGACACCTCCAATGGAAATAATTAATAATATTAAGAAAACTAGTTCATGGTAACCATAGGATGGAGGGCTGCTTCTGTCCACAATTAAACCTCACTCTTTAATTAGAAACAGAAGACAATTTTACTGCATTTTCTAGGGTATGAAACTGGAATTAGTTAGGCTCACCAAATTTCCCTGGCCATGAGCCTTCTTCAGACTGTCCTACAGGTTTCTTTCAAAGGACTAAAGTGACTTTCATTCTTACTTTCACTACCAGAAGAAAAACTCAAATTCAGTAATCTTCATCCCTTTTATACTTAACAGAAGTAGATTAGAAGAAGGGAGCTTCTTCTACAACAGCTCAACTTTCAAATAAGGCAATATCAAAAACAATAAACAGTCAGTCAAAATGTGTAAAAAATACTGAACATGTGGATCACAAACTACAGTGCTACACGCTAAAAGTTTGGACCTAAGAATCTGTTTTATAAGAATATTTTCTCTTAAGAAATTAATAATTAAGAAAGCTGCATGTAAATCACTTCCTCTTGCTGCTGCCAAAAGAATCTTTCAGAGCAATCCAGTCATGGCATGAAAGGGTGAAAAAAAAATCTGACTGCCCGACTGATCATTTTTAATTTTTAGTAGACACTAAATATGATAGTAGATATCAATGTAAAACTGATTTTTAGATACACTAAGAAAAAGAAGCTTGTGGTATTAACTTCATGGACCTTGCAATATAAGGGGAAGAGTTAGTACTTCATGACAAAATGTTGTAATCCAAATTGTGTGTAAAAAAAAAAAATCCCTTTGAAAATATTCTCACATTTCCTGATTTATGTATGTATTTATTTTATTTGAAAATATACTATGTTGATGATTAAACTGAAAAGGTGTTTATACTGTGTTTTGAAACAGAATGATTGCAATAATAAGCCTTAATACAGCAAAGCATGCTGTATAGCAAATGGTATTTGAAAATGTTCTGTTTCTTAAAGAAGCTGTGAGGAACTGGTTAGTGATAACATGCTAATAGAAGCACTTTTAAAGCAAATGGATATTAGAGAAGTGACCATGAACCAAGTAAGTAAGTTACCCTTTTGTCTCCTTGACCTTTGACTCACTTGGATCAAAATTTGACAAAGATTGCAGCTGCTAAGTATATTACCATGAGATGTAGGTAGTGGCATTTAGTCAGACAGCAAAAATAGACAGCCCCCTTCAAGCACCAATACAACTTAACTTTTTCTTCTGGCAGGAAGATAAACGGGGAACTGACATCTCTTGGAATATATAAATACTCCGTTGGCGTTTAGAGGATTTGTCCTTGGTGGGGAGATTTAGCTGCTTGTTTTTTCTTAACTCGATGCAAGTTGTGTGTTAAGTACTTGTACATTCAGCTGAAAAATCAGTTGCCCTTATTCAAGGTGAGTCATATAATACAAAATTTAAAAGTGTGGGGGGGAAGTTCCTCAGGAAAAAAAAAAAAAAAAGACTTTTGAATTCACTTGTTGAAAAAAATCTTGAAAGCATTTATTTGTAATATAAAATGGAAAGATAGGATTTGGCAACAATGAGTTAAATTGCACATATATTACTGAAACTCTGCAATGTTAGCAATGGTCCTCTGCGATCAGTGTGGCTGAATTTCCCAATTTCATGCTGTTTTTTAATATTTAATGTTCTTGAAATTACAGTTCCTGGAGTCATATTTAGGAATATTTTGAAATATTTTTAAAGTGATATTTGTAATATTTACTTTTGCAGATAAAAATTCAAAACTAGAATTGTAAAATGCATTAAAGGAAAAAAAAAAAAGAAAGAAAGAAAGAAAGAAAAAAAAAGAAATAACTTCTTCCATGCAAATTTTTCTCTTAATAACTTCATGTTCTTTAGTCCCACACTCTGACCTTGAACAGAAGAATTGTAATTATGTTAAATCTCCCCACTGTTTTGGGGCTGAAATTCTCATCAGGATTTTCAAAATCCATTCTCATGTTCATTATGCACATTGCTTCTTCCTCATTTAGCTTCCAGATTTGGGGCAGCAAATCTGGTTCTATGTCACAGTTAAAGAGGTGCATGTTAAACAGTGTTTAAAAATGACTGTTGGAGCTGGAGAAGTCATTAAGAAAATGCAGATAATATTTCTCAGTTTTGTAAGAACTTGCTTTAAACTGATATGTTAAAAAAAAAAAAAAAAGTATAAGCAAAGTAGGGAAGAAAAAGTTTAAGAGAACTTTACATTTTTCCTTCTGTTGCTTATAAGTTGTCTTTTCAGAGGTTTGAATGGACCATTTCCATTGCTGATATTCTATTCTATATATTTAAAACAAATTAAACATATGTACCCAATAGTCTAAAATGAGTTAAATATTCTTGTTAATTCTATTGTCATGTCTAAGTTTAAATGATATAGTCTATAGACAGTATCTAGTTTTTATGGTACTTCTGTATAAGGTAAAATTTTTTCACTTGAATATGAATTGCCAGATACAACTATATTCTTACTGGAAATTACTACTTTGGCCTTTATTTTTTATGTTCAGTTATGATATATAAGAGTAGCTTATTAACATCTGTGTGAAACTGTGTAATGTTATGAGTTCTTTTCTTTGAAATTGTGCAATTGTTAATTTGAATTGCATAAATTTGGATATGTCTAGACTGTTATTGCATTGTGTTTGGTGGGAGAAGGGTGAATCTTTTACATTTCACAAAAGCCTAGAATAGACAAAAATTACTTGCAGCCAGTTGCTTTCTAGCTGTTTATTGCTAGCAATCATGAAGAATATCTAGTCAGTCTAATATAAAAATCCACTGGAACCGCTTATACAAGCTTAGATGGAAACCTGTTCCAGTGGAATGTGTATTTACATTGAGTTTGAAAAGTTACATTATGTAAGCCAAAAAAATAAAATAAAACCAAATCGCAATTTCAGAATTTCCTTTAATTAAGAATGTCTGCTTATTAGGAACAATCAGATTTTGCTAAACTAAAGACAATGATATGAACGTATCTGCATATGACAGTCGGTCCTGGTGAATGTCACTTAAAATTTTTCAGGTCTAACTTGAAATTCTTGAGCATGCTTAGAAGTTTGCCATTAACCACATCATCCATCCATCCATCCATCCATTCATCCATCCATTCAGTACATTATAGAGATGTTAATAACTTGGTATTACAAGTATTTTTCAGCTATATTTCTGAATTTTTCAGCTATATTTCTGAAAAGTGCAACAGGTTGCACAAAAATCTGGGAAAAGAGACTTCTTTTCTTAAAATAATAATAATAAAATTTTCTTAATGTTACCCATTTGCAACCACCCAAACCTGTAGTTCAAATAAGGTGCATCTCCTTCTGCAGGAAAAAAAAAAAAAAAAAAAAAAAAAAAAAAGTTTACACTTATATAAACATTCTTAGTCCTTAGTGAAATTTAGCTAAATGTTTTCTTTCCTTGTCCTTTGTAAGTGCTGTAAGTACTGGTCAGAGTGTAAAGTTTTGATGTAGGAACCACAAGGAATCAGCTGGTGGCAGGTGGGTGTAAAATGCAATAAAGGAAAAAACAAAACAGAAATAACTGGATGACTTTTATAGCCAATGTACTGTCCTGTGATTGCAAGAAGTAGTCTTTCAGTCATCCTATCTGCAAGTTTCCAAATAGAAATGATTAAAATGCCAGCCAATCTCAAACGTACAGATATAGTCATTGTTAATATCAAGGGACCCATGAACTGCTAACCGAAGAGCAGGCAACAGGTAGGTGTTTGGAGCAGATGAAAGGAGCAGACTGGGCACAGGTGCAGACATGATATGATTGTTGTGACAACAGTCACAAGGGGATACAGCCTGCTGACAAAATGCATGGTGTCTTCTTTTTCCCCCATAAAAAATTGACCTCATAATGGAATATGGGATTCACAAAAATAAAACACATGGCTGTTCCTACACTTACTATACTATTAAGAAATTCAGGAAGCCTTTTAATCCTCATGAGTAAGCTCGGAATTCAGGTTGAGTTGTTCTTTCACTACATCCTTCTCTTTTCTTTGTTCTCTGTGTTTGGCCTTGAATGTGTAATTAACCCTGCAAATAACACCTGCTTTAAAAATGATTTAGAGATGAGCACAATAATTTGACAAACAAAAATTGTTAAGAATAAAAAAGACTATGGGTAATGACATGTAAAATAGAAAAGAGTTGAGTTACTGTTATCTGGAGGTCTAAGGCAAATAAAAAATTCAGTGGCTGTGACTAATTCCCAAGCAAGCATAAATTTCAAATTATGAAGTTCTTTGTCCCAGTTATTCATAAGCTGTAACAAATAGGACAAAATACCACTGGGAGCTTATGTTTTACCATCTCTCAACCCTGGTGTCATTTTGATTTTCTTTACAACGTCTTTCAGTAGGGACCAGATGTCAAAACACTTTACCACATATTACCATCAACTTTTGTTTTCCAAAGAATAATTGCAAACTTGTTTTTTCTGATACTCAGTGAAAGATAAGGTACTACAGCCTCCAAAGGTCAAAATGTAGACAATGTTTTAAAAAGTCTGCCTTTCTGTAGTTAATTGGGATTAATGAAACTTGGTGTGTACAACTGAGAGTAAGAATTCAACTTCTACAATCATGCCTTGGCCATGATTTTGCTGAAACAAAGTTTATCCTTTCAGTACTAGAATATGGACTGACAGAGGTCAGGAAAGACGAATTTTCCATAGCTGTCTCTCACTAGAGATTGGCATTACTGCCAAGGTAGAATGAATTCACAGTCTGGGTAGATCCCACTAGCAATGTAATGTCCTGATTTTGCCTGAAGTGGGAGCCATGGGCACTGAAGCGTGTGATAAAAGATGAAGGCTATAACCTCGTGCTTTGGCACAAAGATTTCTAAAAATGCGTTTTCCTGAAGAAGAGTATCAGCTACATAATATTGTGACACTTTTCTTTAATAAAACAGAGGGGAAAAAAATAAATAAGTAAATAAATAAATAAATAAATAAATAAAATAAAACCACCACCAATAAAACAACACACTTAATAGCACACTTAATGGTATTTTAGAGAATTCAGGAAAAAAGACAAGTGACTATCTTGCCAACTGTGTATATCTTTATTTTTTTTTCTTTTTCTTTTCACTGTTTGCCACTCTCTGTTTTTGACCTGTTATCTCCCTACCTGCTTCACCTAATGCACTTTGTATTTTTGACCTTTGGAATGTGATTTTTGTTCACTCTCTCCTTATACTAGCAGCTTCACTCAAGAAGATCAGTGAGTTTGTTGGGACCAAGAAGTGAGGAAAAGAAAAGCATCAAGGCTTGCAGCAAGGATATTTTTACATCATCTGTCTGCACCCTGAAGAAGGAGAGGAATGGGCTGTAACAGAAACTGTGGGCTCCTCACTGGGGCTGTCATCGGTGCTGTGCTGGCCATCTTTGGAGGAGTTCTGATACCAGTTGGAGATAACCTTATAGGCAAAGCAATAGAAAAGGTAAAAACTATTTCCTCTTTCAATCCAGATGGTTTGTGGATAGTCATTATTTCTGAATCTTGTGTTCTGTTTCTGCTTTTTTCCTTTTTTTTAAATATTATTATTTTTTTAAAGCCAAGTCTTCGTAATGTAAACAATCCAAAATTAGGACTAGTTGCTGCAGAACTTTTAAAACTATATTAATTACATTACTGTGTTTACTTCCTTGCTCTCTTTCATGATTCACATGAGAATCTGAAATATTTTTTCAAGATGGGTTTTTATTAATGTAATTTAGAAGTAATACATATTTTTTATTTTATTGCAATTACGATTGTTTTTTTTTTTTTTTTTTCATTTCCCCCCCATGCTGATACACCTATTTTTCTGCATTTTTTCCCTTATTTTGGAACTCAGTCAATGCACTTATGCATTCCCTACTGCACATAACTTAAACAAACTTATGATGCAGAATCTAGTCTTACATTTATGTGCATTCAGATCATGATCTGTGACTATATAATTCAAACACATCATGTTTCACGAGACTACATGGTCTCATCATACATATCTCCTTGGTTCAAGGAGTGTGAAGAATAATTGAAGCAGTGTTGTAGACCTGGTAGAAACATGTCCCTCCCTCCCTCTCTCCTCTTCCCACTGTTTCCCTTTCTCTCTCTTTCTCTTTCCCCCTCTCTGCCCTCCCTCTTCCTCTCTCTCCCTCTCCCCCTTCCTCCTTCCCTCTCTGTCTTTATAATCTCATTTTGTCTTTAATTAAAAAATAGAAGTTAACTTGCTAAATCTTCAGTGAAAAGGAGTGTATAACCATGGAGCAATGGAAATACCATAGAAGCCATGGGGTATCCACCACAGGAGACATAGAGTCTCCTTGGGGTCATTACAATGGTCCTTGTCATAGAATCATGGAACCAATTAAAACCAGTCTATCCAACCATCCAACAGTTAAAAATGTAGAAATCAGGCTTTGGCTGATTGCTAATCTTCCTAATGATCTGTTTAGCTGAAGACCTTGGAAATCTTGGAGATAGTTATTAAAAGGCCCTTTTTGAAGACTGCCTTTAATTGATCATCTATATAATTTAGACAAGGAAGTTGCAACCTAGAATCTAGTACCAGTTTGTTTAAAAAAAGAAAAAAAAAGAAAAAAAGAAAAGGTTTCTGCATTTTAATTAACATGCTGCATAACATTTTTAATTTTGACAAGAAGAATTATTCAATTCTTAGCATCGATTGTATTTTTTCATATTTTCAGATTCATAGAAAATAAAAATTATTAAAAGAAACATGGGAATATCTCACTAGCTAACGTATCACTCTCCTTCCAATATCTTGACAAAAAAAAAAAAAAAAAGTTTAAAATAATTTTAGTTGATTGGCATATTGAGGAAATGACAGGTTTTTTAGAAAACATGTATTTTTAAAATGTATATCTCTTTACATTTAAAATTTACTTTGAGTTAGTCCAGAACATTTTCTAATGCCACTCAGCTTTTTCAAAGCAAATTATACACACTAGCAATGTTATGCATTCATCTGTTTACTTATAATAATGAACCAGTTATACAGCATGCTTTGCAAATGTCTACACATTAAATTATACCTGCATGAGTTCTTAGTGGTAAAGTTTTAGACTCTTTATAATTTTCTGCATTGTGATCATGTTTCAGATGCTTATATTTCAAGGCAGCTTCTTTGAAGTATATAAAAAGGAGAACATGTACCAGTATTCATACGAGTAATACAAGAGTAAATTTGTAGAGGTTTTCTTTATTTAAGTAAAAAAATGTATTTTTTTTTCCTAACCACAAATCAAACTGGATTATTTATTTTATATTTATCGTGATGATTATTCAGTGAGATCATAAGACTGTAAGACAATTAATTTTCTTAACAAATATGTCAAACAGCTGAAATATGTGATCAGTAGATACACAAGAGGGTCTTGAATCTGCCTAATTCTGATTTATTTTTGTTGATGACTAGCAAGAAAAACAAATAGTTCTTAAATATTGCAGTTATACTTAATAAAAATATATAGATGACAGCAAAAATATATAGATGACAGCAAAGGAAACAAGTCTGCTGAACAGAGAATACTAAAACATGCATTTTTTTCCTGAATCATTTCACTTTTGAAATTGTCATTTTTTAAGGAAACAGATTTTTTAATTGAAACAGAGACATTTCAGTGACAGTTTTATCTAGAATTTTCCAAGAATAGAGACTGCAGGATAGAAAGAAAAACAACAAGCAAACAAACAAACAAAAAAATGAGCAAGACTTTCAGATATGACCTGTATCATTCATATTTCCATTTTGTCTGATACAAGACAAAGGCTGAACTTGGGTTTTCATCCACTAGGATGAAAACAAGTGTCAAAATACCAGATTTTTAATAAAAAGGAACAATTCTTTGAGATATCACCTTATCAGCCAAATTATGTCTTAACATTCTACACAATCCAAAGCCTGAAAGAGACCCCACAGTTGTTCCTCTACTTATTTCAGGGTAAAATTTCATTTTACCTATTTCAGGGTAAATCCCAGTTCTTTACAGAAACTGACATCAGTACAGCAAAACCGAATTTACATTCCTAGCTACAATGAATTTTGCTGCAAAAATATTATTGCTAGATTAGAGATTATTTATTTATTTATTTATTTATTTATCCTGAAAATATATTTAGGACACTTAATTCTATAACAAGTCAAAATGTTGTAAATTAACTTGTTATCATCATTTAGTCAAATCACATAATCATCAATTTTCTCTTAAGCAAGTCTGGTTGAACTTCATGGCATTTCACAATAAAGAACAGCTGTAGTATCATCAATACAATCAATAGTTGTTGCCATTCTTGTTCTGCTAGTAGTGGAAGCCTAAGCACATTTCCCTCAAGCATACGTTGCTACAGGTGGCCAAACCCTATAAGCCCCATTTCATCTTTATTGCAGCCATTGAAGGATTAGGTTGAGTAAACACTGCAAGTAATACTTTCCTGGAAGACTTCATACTGTTGTCGCAGTACAGAGAAAGCATCTGCAAATGTATATGCAATCTTAGTTGCCCTTAGATATTCGTCAGACAGTCTCAGGCTGTTATCTCCTAGCAGATAGGTACTGCTTTCCACCCTTCTCTAAAATGATGTCCATATAATGTATAATACCAAAATGTCACCTCATCACGTGTTTGTTTATTAACATACATCTGTAGTTTGACACAAAACAGACTGTTATATTTTCCAACTTGACTGCTCTTACTCACATCTCAAATAATTTTTTTGGATAAGCTGTTTCAATATTCTCTCTTTCTCACTCTCTCTATTTCTGAATATTTTAAGAGGCCCTTTAAAAATCTGCCACTTGAGGAGCACACTAAAATGACAACAGCAGCATCTTGGCTGGGATCCATTTAACAAGATTAGTGTTAAAATATTTCAGCTGTGTTACTATACAGGGAAAGGAAACACACCCCTTAAAAGGTGCTTTGATTTCAGTACCAAAGGACAAAAACTGTAATTTTCCCAAACACTGCATTTATCCACAGAGTAGAAATGCCATTCCATGAAGGTCCTAGAGGTTTGGAAAACTGACCTTGTTACAGTAAGGAGTGAAGCATGAACTTTTCAGAGCTCGTTACAAAAAATATTTTGAGACCATCAAAATATATCTGACTTTACACACTTCCTTTGCACATTGTCTTATCATCTAATATTAAGAAAATAATAATAATAATCAAAAAGAGAAATCCATTCAAAGCAACAGATCAGAAAGTTTACATCCAATATTGTTGAAAGGAGATATTTTTTTACATGGTCAATTACTGCTATTTGACTTTCTCTCCCCAAGCAAAATATTATTAACCTAGACAAAATTCAGTTTATTTTTTCCAGGTCTAACCACTCACAGCCATTTCTAGTTGATTCAATTACCAGATAAATCTTTATTGCCATTTCTGTGAGAACTTTTGCTGCCTGCCTGAGAGTGTGAACTCAGCAGATTAAGAGAAGACACTTAATATATTAAATTCCCTATGAGTTGATAATAGAAAATATTTTGCCACAATACCTAAGTGCTGTCCTATTTCAGTAGAGTCCTTAGGGTTAGTCTCTGTTATTTTTATAAATAAAGCTATAAATTTTAGTTATTATTACATTTAGCCATCTGTCTCTCTAGATATCTCTTCTGTATGATTAGCCAGATTATTTCCTCTCAGCTGCTGGAAGCATAGGAAATACTTCTAATTTAGAATTGTTTTTGTGAAAGTCATATACACCTTTTTTATCTAAACTAATGAACCTAAAGCAACCGCAACTGCTGGCTCCAAGCAGAACATTAGTGATCCAATCATACATATTCCAGCATTATCAGTGATAAGCTTGATTGGCTTCCATAATTTGTTACGACCAAGAAACCTAAAAGGGCTAAAAGTTTTGATTCAACAAAGCTTGAATAGCAAGGCTAATACATAACAGAATCATCATCACATATATATGTGTCTATTCCTTAACTAATTCAGTTAATTCAGTGGGGGTGGGGGTGAAACTAGATGATATTTAAGGTCCCTTCCAAACCATCCATGTTTCTATTACTAGGGAGCTAAAGTCTTTCATATTATCACTTGCAAATTATTAGTTTCCCAAATTACCCTACCTTTCATAAAATCATAGTGCACAAAATGTGTCAGTGCTACTAAGGTGAGCAGCCACAGAGCAGAGTAGTATTTAGGGATGGCCTCACTAGTGATCAGACAGACAAAGCCCCAGGACTTGTAAGTGTGAGGACATTAGTATTATTAGATGAGGACATGATTAAGGACATAGCTCTAAATTTTCTTCCACTTTAACTCACTCTTTGAACTCTTGAAGTATATGGCAGTGAAATACATGCTACCCCCTTTGTTGAGAAATGTTAATAACAATAATGGCTGACTGCCAACAAAAATGGTCTTACTCCCTTCCTCTCCCTCCCTCTTTTGTCCTTCTGCTTCCCTTATTTTAAGTCTAGTTCACATCTGATCCTTTCCCCTACCCACAGCACTGGCAGAAAGGTAACACTGAAAAATGATAATAATTAAAAAAAAAAAAAAAAAAGTCCATAAAGCAGAAACAGCTTTCTGAGGAATGAGAGCACAAAGGAAGGGAAAAGAGGTTGGGTCAGGTCAGAGGGCAGAGGTAGCTGTCTTTCCCCTTTGTCGGCAAAGCTGCAGAACTGTCAGATCAGACTGGCTGTCCCCTCAAAGCTCACTCCCAGGGAGGCATAAGCACAGAGTAGATGGTGGACTGCAAATCTACACGGTAACTCACTATTACCTGTCTTCCCCTAGTTCTTCAGTCCCTGGGGACTCTTCATACAATGCCCAAGGTCCTACTTTCCCGTTGGCATTTCCCAAGCATATAATAGGGACATAGTAATCATTCTTGCATAAAAAATAAGGGAGAGTCACCCCACCTTTGTAGGTGGACAGCAAATTAGTTCTCGATTGATAAGAAAGTACATAGTACAGAACAGTAAAGTGTAGTAAGGAACAGGACATGAAAATGATCATAATATAGCCTACAGTCCAAGCTGATAAAAGAGGGTATTCCTGGTTGCACTAAAAAGCTGTTATAAAGTCCTGCATGTTCTTAGATTTCCCTGCATTTTTCCATGTCTCTTAAATACCTCTAAGGATTGTGACTTCACCATTGCCCTTGGCATCCCATTACAACGCTTGAATACAATTTCCAGGAAGAAATTCTTTCTGCTATCCAATCTAAATCTCCCTTGGTGCAACTTGAGATCATTGCCTCACATCCTATCACTTGTCACCTGAGAAAAGAGACAAACACCCTCCCTTCAGGTAGTGGTAGGATGTTAAAAGGTCCCTTCAGCACCCTTTCCTCCAGACTAAACAGTCACAGTTCCCTCGGCCATGCCTCATGTGTCCTGTTTTCTAGCCTCTTCATCAGCTTCTTTGCTCTTCTCTGCACGTGCCTGAGCAACTCAGTATCCTTCTTGTAGAGAGGGGCCCAAAACTGAACACTGTACTCAAGATGCAGTCTTACAGGTGTTGAATACAGGAACAACCACTTCCCTAGTCCTGCTGGCCACACTATTTGTTATACAAGCCAGGATGTGTTGGTTTTCTTGGCTACCTGGGCACACTTCTGGCTTATGTTCAGCTGGCTCTCAGCCAGCACCCCCAAGTCCTTTTCTGACAGGCAGCTTTCCGGACAGTCTTCCTCATGCATACACTACTGCATGGGGTTGTTATGACCCAAGTGCAGCACCCAGCATTTAGCCTTGTTGAGTATTATATGATTGGCCTCAACCTATCCAGCCTATCCAGATCCCTCTGGATAGCCCTCCTACTCTCAAGCAGATCAACACTCCTACCCAACTTGGTGTCATCCGCAAATTTACTGGGGATGCACTCAATCCCTTCATCCAGATCATTGTTAAGATATTAAACAAAACTGGCCCCAGTACTGAGCTCTGAGGAATACCAGTTGTGACCAGCCATTAAACAGATTTAACTCCATTCACAACGATTCTTTGGGCCCAGCCATCCAGCCATTCACATCATTTGGATGTCCAGCCATACACCCAGTAAACAGAACAGTACATCCGTCCAAGCCATGAGCAGTCAGTTTCTCTAGGAGAAGGCTGTGGGAAACAGTATCAAATGCTTTGCTAAAGTCCAAGTAAACAACATCCACAGCCTTTTTCTCAACCACTAAGCAGGTGACCTTGTCATAGAAGAAGATCAGGTTAGTCAGGCAGGCCCTGTCTTTCATAAACCCTTACTCATCTGATTGTACCATATGTGTCGTGTGATGGCAATTAAGAAGATCTGCTCCATGAACTTCCCTGGCATGGATGTCAGTCTGACAGGCCTGTAATTCTCCAGATCCTCCTCCCTGACTTTTTTAGATGGGTATCACATTCACCAACCTCCACTGTTTATATCAACCTGCTTCTCCCAGATCCTATGAGTAATTCTCTATGAAAGCACAAAAGGCAATTTCCAATTCATGGAATATCTCTTCACAAAGGAAATGGCCTGTCCTACTTAGGATCACAGCTGGGACAGTCCTTTGCCTCTGAAGGTTTACAAAACAAGACTGAAGAGAATTTTATCTGTCAGGTCTGAGTGCAAGTCCTCAAGCTGATAAAACTTTTGCTGTGGAAAATTTCCTTACCCTCTCACACAAATGCACTTAAATTATAGCAGATATTCAGACAGCAAGCTCAGCCTACCACCAACAGCATTTGCTGCTCTACCTTACAAATAGGCTTTCGTCCTGTCTGTGCTGAGTTCTCTAAGACATTTTATTCATTTTTATGACAGTAGTTCTTAATTGGTATTATCCTTTCTCGGATTGTGCTTGCTAAACAAACTCTAGAGGCAGAAAATTAAATTAGAAAGAAAATCTAGCAAATCTTGCAAATAAAATGCTTTTTCTTGCTACATAACTGTCTGGAAGATTCAAGTCTATTGCTTTTTGTGTCTCTGAGCTATGGAAATTAACTATAATATTGCTCAACTCTGCTAAAAAGCATGTTATATGTTGGACCTGGGCAGCCTAGACTTTTCTTCTTATTAAAAAATCTTTTCTAAATTTTTACCATCAGGAGGAAAAAAAAATCTATTCTCCCAAGGATTTGTGAAGATTGTGTAGAAACAGGTCAGATGGAGACCAAACAAAGCAGACTTTCCCCTGAAAATATAGGATATATAACTTCAGACTATCCTTTTCACTGTGCAGTCCCAAGGTAGACATTTATAATAGTAAATCTGAGTGCCACACACACAAAGCTGTTGATTAGTCTATAATGATGTCCTGTCTGCTCCTTCTGCTCCTATTTGCCCTCATTCTCTGACCTGGGAAACCTTCCTAAATAAATGTTATTAAAAGCAGAGAGATTTCATATAAAGTCTCAGTCTTGGTCACAAGAATTTTCTGATAAAAAACAGTCCTGCATGAGCAGTATTCACTTTCTCAGGTGGTGAAATGACTTAGTGCATAAGTAAAGATCAGAGATAGCTCTCATTTCCTCCCCTGAAATACTAGAAAATGCATGAAAATGTATGAAAATTAGTTTATGGATTCTAAAAGCAGATGGGTATGATTCAGTCATTGACAGTTTTTATTCTTACAAGTAATCCTTAAATTTAGAGAATGGGAATTACAGAGATGCCCAACCACAGCAATAGGAAAATTTTCCTACCGGCTACAATAGCAATTATATCAGCTTTCTGACAGCTTATTTTAAGGGGACTCACTTTTGCCGTTGCTACCATTTCTGCACAGGAATGTCAGGCTGCCTTCAAATGTTGGCCAAAAGTATGTGCTGTATACCTCAACAATAAAAGTCACTTTTTATTGTTAATTTTACTTTTTATCTATCTATCTATCTATTTATTTATTTATTTTAGGAAGCTGTTATTGCAAATGGTACCATTGCTTTTGATAATTGGCTTGTGCCAGGAAGCTCAGTTTACAGACAGTTTTGGATCTTTCATGTGCAAAATCCAACAGAGGTGTTAGAAAATGGATCACGTCCAAAACTTGAACAAAGAGGACCTTACACATACAGGTAACCATAGTTCCTGAATATGTGACATGTCATATCAGAATTTTTGTTAAAGCCAGAAAAAGTTCTGCTGAGTCAAAATTGTTTAAATTGGTTTTGGAAAGCTCAGAATCCCATTGTAGTCAGAGTTGCCAAAAATGCCTAAATATTTGGAGCTATGCACTGCAATCACAAACATTTCTTACTGAGTTTCATGTTGGGATACTAAAACGGGTAATCAGATGTGAATCTATTCGTTCTTGTGATAAACCGTCACTCATTAGTAAGATGTTTACCATAAAAAGACAGGCATGTTGCATTTGTTGCTGTTCAGTGTTTGCCAGCCTTTTACTTAGAAAAAAATATGCCAGATGCCCCCAAAACAAGAGATTGTCTTATCACCGATGTAAGTATAACACTCATATTTATTTTAATAATATGTTTTGTTTTATTGCTCATTTATTTATTTTGTTTTGCTTTGGTTGATTGGTTTTAATCTATAGCTTTTTCTTTCTCAGATTTCCCTCTGAAAAACATTTTTTTTAATGTATTATCTAAGGCGTATATGCAACAGTCCATCCCTGTCCAGGAAAGTACCTAGCTGTTACTGGCACTCTTGTTATGAAATTGCTTTCCTAAAATGATAAGACATTTCTTTCTTAATGTCATTGACATGTATGCAATATTTGACAAGTAGTTTTGTATTGCAGTATATAAACCACAGGTGCCTTAATGCCTAAAAGGTTGTTAATTTATCGTTGGAATATCTTGGTTCATACAGTACGTGGGAAGACACAGGAGATGGTTATGCAGGAGTCAGGAAACTCAGCAGCTGAGAAATATTGCAGAAGGTGAACTCCCACTAAACAAGCATTTTTTACTCTGGTCATGATGGTGCATATACTCTCAGGGATAAATCTCTGCAGATAGCCTAGATAAGACTGTGCAAGAAATGATGGCTTCATTTCTTGGGGAAAACAAACAAACAAGCAAAGAAGCAAACAAACAAACAAACAAAAAACAACAAACAAACAAACAAACCAAACACCATCCCTCGATCAGAGATATTGGGTCTACCTTAATCACCGTAATGCCGAGTCTCTTTCTCAATTTCCCTTTGAATGTTTCATTTGTTTCATTGCTTACTACACAGTGGAACAACTGTCCTTGAAACTGCAATTGTCTCCAAGATTCTGTCGGGAAATGGGAAACTCTTTAAGACTTTCATTTCCAGTTAGAAGTAACGTGGCTTAGAAAACAAACCTCCCAACTTCTAGATAGGTGCTCTACACATTAGTCCATTAACTAAAGTGGCATGCACAAACACCACTCTTGAGAAGCCAAGATCCATCTGCTTGTGGGGTAGGTCCCACCCTGCACTGGTTACATCTGTACCATGGGGAAAAGTGCTCTGAAATTTCTGGTCCTCCCATGTCCAGGCTGGATGATCTGATAGAGCATGATGATCCCTTCTGAAATGGAACTGGGATAAACTTTGTAGACCCATGGAATAAACTAAGCAATACAACACTTGCTGGATGCCACCTCCGCAGTGGGGTCAGCAAGAGGATGGGGACATAAAGAGTTGAGCCAAAGCCAGAACTGTAGCAGCTCAGATATTTGTGCCTCAGTAATCCCCTAACAGAAATATAGGCACTTGCAGGCACGATGGAGAAGGGCTTTTGTGTTTCTCAGTGGTGCTGAAAGACTGCTTATCCCAAGACTGCTTGGGATTTCCCTATATGGATGTGAAATATTAATAAAGTAGTTCCCATTATGGATTTAACCTCTAATCTCTTTTATTAGAACACAGGCCTATCACATCAAATCTTAAGGGCATTTATAAACCATTCCTGAGTCATTCCCTTCTAAGAACACGCAATCATGAATAAGCTTAGAAAACGATGTGATGAAACAAAACTAATTCATAACAGAATACGAAAAGATAAAAGGTCTATTATTGCAATTAAAAGTAAAAAAATGAAAATAAAAAAAATATCTTTTTTAGTATCAATCAAAAAATGCATTAGGCATTAAGGAAATGTTTGGAAAATAAAAATATTTTACATAAAATAGATTTTTACAAATATTCAAATGAAAAGTTTCGAACCATTTCAGTGATTTTTAAATTTAAAATATTAATCTTCAAAAGTGTTCATCAACATCTCAAAAATTCAGTCAGATGTGTTGACTTGAAAATCAGATTTTAAAATATTCTGTGTTTTATTATTTTGTATTTCAAGGGTGCGATATTTAGCCAAAGAAAATATCACAGAAAACTCTGATGGCACAATATCCTACATGTTGCCTAATGCTGCTCGTTTTGAACCTGATATGTCTGTTGGGACAGAAAATGATACCATCACGTGCCTGAACCTCGCTGTTGTTGTAAGTTGAGAAAATAAACCATAATATGCACATTTGAACATTGAGATATTCAAAAAATAAGGGGTTGAGATATTCAAAAAATTAAGAACACAGATTCTGAAGACATATTACATTTACATTGAGGTTTCGTTATACTCCCAGGATAATCTTAACTGTAAATGAAAATTGACTTGTTCTTGTCAATGGAAGCAAAGCCATCAGCTTGGATGGGATGTATCAAAAGCATCCTTCTAGTCAATTTTAGTGTGGGAATGAATCAAAGGGTTGTGGATGGATTCCTATTCTACTGAGGTACAGCATGACCAGTATAATGTGGGTTTTCCATACTCTTTTCATATCTTCAGTCCTGCTTTGCGGGGGAGACTGTGTTAAATCAGTGTATGCATGGCCGCGCTGCTTCCATGGTGCTCCTCTGCCCCAAGGCAATGGTGTCACCAGAGTTTTCTAGTCCTCCTGAGACTTTAGTTCTCCTGAGGAAATCACAGGAGACCCCACCTGTACTTCACTCCAGATGTTTTCCTGTTGTCATAGGATTTGAGTATTTGCCCTTGACCTATGTTTACAGATTTTATATTTGTATTCAGCCCTAGTTGCGTTCCTCGGATGTCCCATACTAACACTGTGGTGTCTGCATATCAGGCCTACTGTGACAGAGAGGGTGGGTGTTAGTTGCAGAGTGGAGAGATGCTATGTGTAAAGATGAAAAGAAGGTCGATTGCCTTATTGAGACCAGATCTATTCTGCCTATGTTCTAATTTAGACTAGAATTTCCCTTTTACAAAGCTTTCACACACACCCCCCCCCACCCCCGGACTAATGTCCTGAGTCCTTCATCTCATTATATTCTTCTCATGGTATTCACTAACTTTGCTCAGTTGCCACATTTTGGGCCATGTAGCTCTTTATGCATGTAAACACAGGCTCTTGCCTGGAAGCAGTCATGTCAGAGGAAGTAAGAGCAGAGCATTCAAGCCCCGTTTTGATGTTCAGAACAAAACTTGGATAAGTTTAAATACCCAGAGAGGCTGTGCTTATCTCACATGACAGTATCAGTAGAGCCCATCTTTGGTATCATAACCTTGTGGTCAGAATATTCACAAGGGAATCAAGAGAGATGTTTTTCACACTTCCTTAACCCTGAGGGGATTGAACCCACATCTCCTCTATCCCATAATCTTTCCATATCCATGCTTGCTGCTTGCTTTATGTTCAAATTCAGAAAGGAATGCATGGTCTAAGAGGTTAAGAAAAAAAAAAGAGAGAGAACAAACAAGAGAACAACTTTGTCTTGGTTGTTTCGACTTTCTGGCTAGCTCTGAATCGCCCATTGTCATTCCCATTGCACTGAAGACAAGCAGAGATTGCAGTAAAAAGCCTAGAGTGAACACTTGCTCTGAGAGGTACTTTTTCATTACACAGATTTACTTCACAAAATTGTTACTGTTCCCTGCCTCACCACATGGGCCAACATAGATCATTTTTTCTTGTTTTCCACAAGCTAATCAGTGGCTTTAGGGACTTGACTTTGTGTTTATGCCTCTGGAAAAGTTCATTACAATCATGGCTGGTAAAATACCACATAATTCTTCATTGAAATAGGAAAAGTTCATTTGCTACGTAGAATTAAAACCATTTGGAAAGAACATGTTAGTTGCAGAAATGTATTCTTTCTGATTAAAGATTCATCTTTAAACAGAGATTCATCACTCCATTGGTTTTATGCAGGATAGAATTATACTGCTGTTAGCATAATTTTATCAAAATAGCAAGTCTAAAACACAGCCGTGTTTAGGCATGTATCTTTGTACTTGCATGTTTATGATGTGAGTGAGTCTGCAGTAGTGAGATATGAATATAGCAGAGAAGGAAAATGAAAGTTGTACAGTGTATGTTATATGCACAGAGACCTGAAGTATAGAGACATTAGTGAACTTGTGGAAGCAGTGAAGATAAATTGTCTAGTTTTATACATGATATACTCAGCAACTGTTTCAATAATGAGTTGTAGTAGTTTTAATTATAAATTTGACTTGCATTGAGTAAGGTCTGGAAACAACCTTACTTATCAGCTTTGCCAGAGATTTATTGGAGTTGGTCTGTACTTTTGATCTGCTCACGCAGAATTTTATGCTAAACATTAGTTTTATTGCTGTTGTAGGCTGCACCTGCCCTGTATACAAATGCTTTCATACAACTACTATTAAACACTTGGATTAAAGCTTCTAAGTCATCCATGCTGCAGAACAGAACAGTGAAAGAAATACTCTGGGGATACAAAGATCCCTTCTTAAACAAGGTCCCCTTCCCCTTGGACCCAGTTTTGGGAGTCTTCTACCCGGTAAGTGAAACCAATCAGAAGGCAATATTTCAGTTATAATTATGTGAATAAAATCAATACTGCAGCTGCAAGGAAGAAAAATCTGACAAAAAGACCTTGGGTCAGTACTTCTAACTGTTATTCCTTCTTGTGTCTATTACAGTATAATGGGACATATGATGGACTTTACAGAGTGTATACTGGGAAAGAAGATATAAGCAAAACAGCAATAATTGAAAGTTATAAAAACAAAAGGTATAATAGCATTGTATATATGAAAAAAATAATCATATTTTCAAGGTTTGCATTTTAAGACCTGGCTCACTGAGAGCTATAATTAAATGGAAAGTTGTCAACAATTCAAGGAAAGCTAGATCAAGCCCCAGGCTAAGCAAAACCACCTCTCTGTTTCAGCTATTTGTGATTCTGTTATGAGCTTGGATTTAAGATATTTTTTTGATTCTTCAATACAAGTAGTTACTTCTGTCTTCCATACTTATACAGCTAGATCACTTTTGCCCTAATCTACTGCATCATATAGTTTATCTGAACATATGAATTAACATCCCTGTCATATGCCTTTGCTATTGAATCATATTTATACTGGAGCAGTGAGGATTAACAACACAGGTAGTGAAATGGATTACATAGTACAATATAATTCATGCAGCATGACTTTTTTTTTTGTTTGTTTCTTTTATGTTAAAGGAATCTTTCTTACTGGGAAGGTTACTGTGATTTGGTTAACGGCACAGGTGAGCCTATTAAAGCTTTGTGAAACTTCAACACATTTCTGGATATTGTAAAGGAATGTTAAGTCCCTCTTGGGCTTTGAGAGTTCTGTATTCCGCATATTAAATGTCTATATAAATATGAATGTATATATACACGCGTATATATCTAATATAATATATATTATACACTATTTAAAACACTATACACTATTTAAAACACTATTTTATATACTTATATGCACGCTTCAGCTATAGAAGATGTAGAAGACAAGAAACAATCTACCTGTTTGTTTTTATTAAATATCTGCATGGCATGGTATAACTAAGATTCCTTATCTTTGGTACAACAGTTGACAAATATTATCTTTGCCTTCCAGTAACATACATTCTTCTTACTTTCATTTTCTTTCTTTTTCTTACTCTTTTTTTTTTTTCCTCTGTACTGTGTAGTTTTCCTTAGCATAGATCATTCTCCTAAAAAACAAAAACAAAAACAAACAAACAAACAAAAACAACAAGAACAACAAGAACAACAACAACAAAAAAACATGACAAGTAATTTTGAAGCATTTCAAATACTTCCCAAGAATCTGAGTTTCCAAAAGGTTGTGTATCAGGAAGGATTAGTCATTTTAATGATTAAGAAATGATGTTTTCTTAGTTTCTGGGACTTTGGGACTTACCTTCTTTCTTATGGAGCCCCAAATCTTTATATATATATATATATATATATATATATATATATATTATTGTCAGCTTTTTCTTTGTCTTCTTCCACAGCAGATGGAATAAACACACTCAGGTAACTAGACTAAGTGCTTCAATACAGTGAAAATGGGGAGAATTTAACTGTTAGCAAAGGTCATTACACAGTTTACATGAGCATTCAATGTGACTGCTAAGGAGGGAATGTGTTTAGAGAATCAGCAGGTTTAAAATGTCTTGTAAGTAAATGTGAGAATTCCTTTGTATCTTGTAAACTTTTACAGCAAAGCACAGCATGTTTTCTGAGCAAAAGTAAATAACTAGACAGGAAGATGAAACAGTTTTCTTGTATGGGGCTTGAAACGAGTCCGTATTTGCAAACACTCTGAGACTGCCAAGATTTACAAATAGAGTTTGTCTCTAGGATGATCTTGGATTTTCTTTAAGGAAAAGTGCTTCCCTCAGCAGTGGGCAAGTGTCAGTATGTAATTTAGCTTTCTCACTCTTGCCAACTAGATTCAAAGATACCACAGATGTTTTCAATTCCTTGGTTAGGGTTGCTGAACAAGAAACTAAACAGCATATTGTTGCAAAAAGTAACAAATGTACTGGTTAAAGGTTTGTTACAACACCTTGCTTGGAAAAATGGCTGAGACTCCTCTTACTTAACACTAGTTGCATGCAATACAGAAATATGCATCTGAACTGGCAAGCTGCTCTTTCCATAGCAAGTGGGAGAAAAACATTACCAAAGTGCTCTTCCTCTGACCTTTTTTGATTGTCTAGTATGAGCTCCAATTGAGCAATCTTGGGTGAAAAAAAAAAAAAAAAAAAAAAAAGAGTTATGTGCTGTTTATTCAATAAGTTTTGAAGTCTAAAGCTGCATTTCTTATAAGCGCTGGGTGCCATAATTCCAGGTGACTATGCATCTCCAGCAAGCTTTAATTTTTAGACTACATAAACCTCGAAATAGTGGCAACAGGTATTGGGATTCGTATTAAGCAGGAGTGGTATTTTTATCTGCTGTTTTTAATAGGCTTGATGATATATAGATTCATGTCTGTGGGAAAAAAAAAAAAAAAAAAAAAGCTGCCATTATTTGACTTGCCTTCAAAATCAATCCATGGAGTACCTGTCATTATGCAGTAGCTTATGTAAATATTTTCCCTACAAATGACTCATTGTGTTTACCTTGTTCACAGCTTTATAGGAAAGTATTAAGCACTGAGCTAGAAATTAAAGTACATCCTCTAAGTGGAATTGCTTTCAAGCTCTTAATTTTATTCACAGATGGGGCATCATTTCCTCCATTTGTTAAGAAGGATCAGGTACTGCGCTTCTTCTCCTCTGACATTTGCAGGTATGTTGATCCTTCCTTTTGTGCATACGTGTGCTTCCCAACTGCTCTTTTGTTTCAGTAGGCTGCTGCAGTATCTCTGCTGGGGCTTAGGTTGCTGAGGCAGTTCCTCACAACTGTTTCACCTAAACTCAAGTAAATTCGTGAGCTGTGCTTATGATTCAGAGCTTAATTCTATCACTTTCATTTGTGTCAAGTAGCAAGTTATTTATGGTGTGTTTCATTTAAGCAAGTTACAGGTGTGTAGTTTAGGAATACCACTGCTTAATTTTACAGAGAGAGACACTGCTATGACCAGTTACAAACACTGAGGTCCAAATGGTTCAAAGTCTTGAACAATTTATAGGATTAGGACTCAGCCTCTAACCTACCTAATTTGGTATTAGCAGGCAGTTTACCCCTCTGCAGGGGCTGTCTGGACCATCTTCGGGATTTCTGCATAATGTCATCTATGCAGAACAGGATTTACTGTCGGCCACTAGATGCTCAAAAGTGTTTTCCCACAGGATTTTTTTTTACATAGTTTATTTTGATGTATTTACAAACAAACCAACCTGCTTAATTCATCCCATACTGATGGCTTTTCAGCCTGCTTCATCTGCTGTGGTTATGCAGTGTCCCTGAGTTCTCCAGTGAGATAGCTGAAAGCAACATTAAGAGATTTAAAGGGCATCAGAGTGTATTTACTTTGGGAGGTTCGATCCTAGTATTTATTTTGCTGCCTGGAAACAGCTGCCTCCTTTTAACTAGGGTTAAAGTGGACCATTTGCTTTGCAGAATGTTTGTTTTCAAAGATCAGTGTTTTTACATGAAGTTAGAGTTCTTTTTCTTGTGAAGCAATTGTATCCCCAAACTGGACAATGTTTCAGAACTTATGGAAAAGGGAACTCTACATAGTGGAGAAAAAATAAATTTGAACCAATTGGACACAGTTTGAGAGATTCCTCAGGCCATGTAATTCTCACAATTAATGAACAATGAAGGGCAATAACAACCTCCCAAAGGTCTCAGATGAAACAAGGTAACGGAAAATGGTTCTGACCATGTTGCAAGACCCCAAATCCTTCTTTTGATCAGCTGCAATACAAATTGTTGCTGCCTTGGTTACATTACTGCATACCAACCTTATTTCTTTATCAGTTGATAATGTATCATAAAAAATGTATATAAATAAATTAAAAAAAAAAAAAAGTGGTAAGCTAGAAGTGGTATTCTAAAGCTTGAAGTAGTATTCTGATTCACATACAATGGAACAAGTTTATAATAAGTATGTCATTTGCACCATAAAGCTTAAATCAGTATCATCAAGTCAGCAAAACTGTAACCAAACCCACTGATTTTGGTAAGTATCTTTACAGTAGTCAAACAAATTTCAAACATTTCATAGTAGCAGTTGCTGTAGAAGTGTGTAGAAAAGACCTCTTATTAGTTTACTCATTTAGTTTATATTGTTTATTGGTATTAGTATTTTTTTCTGCCTTTTTGTGTCTTGCTGTGCTCACCTCTGAGCTTGTACATCCCTTTGTGAAAGCACAGAATTGCCTGTGTTACAGGGGAAGGCCCCTACAAACTGCTGGGTGTGGGCTCTCTGAAGTACTTTTCTTTTAAGAGACAGTCAGAGGATCCTTGAGGAATAATGCCATGAATTCAGATTTTCAACCAAAGTGACTAAAACATATTTCTCCTCTTTTATATTCAGATCGATCTATGGAGTCTTCCAGGGCAAACAGAATGTGAAGGGAATCCCACTTTATCGTTTCGCAGTTCCTCGTGAAGCGTTCGCATCACCAGTTGAAGTTGGAGATAACTACTGCTTCTGTACAGAGGAGGTCATATCCCAGAACTGCACAACAGCTGGAGTCCTAGATATTAGTGCCTGCAAAGGAGGTATAGCAGGGGCATGGTACTGCCAAAGAAGCCATCTGATTGGGGAGAAAGCACGTGTTCTGTAGCTGAGGTGTTGTTCTAGGATCTAGGGCATTTGTGTTTGTCTGCAAACTCTTCCACAGATTGCCTGTGAGAGCTTTCCCTTTTCCATAGCCTAATTTCCCCAAATGAGAGCTATAATATTTCTGTATTTTGAATGTCACTATGAAGAAGAAAATCACAACGCTATAGATTGTGTACTGAAATTGCAGGAATGCACAAGTAGAAAGTAAAGGAGAGGGATTCTATATGTACTGTTTAAAGCCAGAAATAGTTACAGTCCTTGTATTTGTGATGATTCACATCCACGATATATGTGCATGTGTTTGTGTGTATTTGCACAGCTATATACATACACAGAGACTGAGAGACACCAGTTACTTAATTTAACATCAGTACAATAAAATGCACTCCCAGCTCCACAGTGTAGACACAAACAAGGTTTGTAAATACAACTTATTTCACCAGACAAATTCTCCTGACAGTAGAATCTCAGAAATTCTCACTTTATTTTATGTAGGTGAGGGAAGCTATTAATGCTTTTTTTATTATTTTTTTTTTCCAGGATTGTTTGTGTGTTTGTATAACAAATTATGAATTATGTTTGCATAGAAAATGGGTTTAGAAGGTGAGTGCTGAAACAAGGCTTAATGATTTAAATGCTTTTTTTTTTTTTTCTTTTTCAAATAGGAAGACCTGTGTATATCTCTCTTCCACATTTTCTTCATGCAAGTGAATCTATACTGAATGATGTTGAAGGCCTGAGCCCAAATGAGAAGGAACATGAGACAGTTTCTAGATGTAGAGCCTGTAAGTCCAAATATTTAATAAAATTAAATAGTAATTCAGTAACCTTGCGATGTTTAAATTTAATTGCAGTAAAGTAGGTCTTTTACAAGAGGGATAAGCAGAGGAAGCAATATTTTTATGCTTGCTTTTTAAGATCTGCTCACCAAGGTGTTAAGCTTTTAGCAGGGGAAATTTAGAGCAGAACTTTTTCTTATTCTGACCTTCAAAGTTGGAATATAAACTTTGATTTTTTTCCTCATTGGGAATGCATGATGACTTCACAAAGCTTTGAAGTATGCTATAACTTATCTATCATTTTCAAGTACTTTCTGAAAATTCTTTTCTATGAGATGTCTTATTATATTTTATCTTATTTATTTTTAATTTTCCATAGTTTTTTTTTTTTGTATAATTACTATCTCAATTGAATTAAAGTAAATAAATATAGATTATTTCCAAGAAAATTATTGAATAGTCTAAAGCCCAATCACTTGCCTGACTCTAGAACAGAACTAATATAGTCTTTGTAACTCTGTCCAAAAGAGCTAATAAAGGAACGAATTTATGATAGCTCTGATTTTGTTTGCCTTCAATTTTACATTTACTTCTGTTCCAGTGAATCAGATTAACAATCTTAACTGTGTCAGCCAGAGTCTTCTGAAGTATGTGGTGAATTCTGAAGTTTCAAAATTTTATTGTATCTGAATTTAGATGAAATGGCAAAATTCAGGATTTTTCATTAAAATATTTTTTCTCATATAATTTAAAAATGAAGCCACATAACTTCAATGAAATCTAAAGTCAAGTTTCATTTGAAATAGAGATACAAACCTAAGTTTCCTAAATCCGAGGTGAAAAGGAGACAAAAAAAAATAAAATCTGACCTTTATTTTGATATTTTGTTCTGATAAGAAATGTCTGTTTTCTGCCCTATGCAGGGCAGAAGGGTTAAACTTACCCCTCTCGTTAAAATAGAACTTTTAGTCAATTTCTAATGAAAGAAAAAAACTAAAATATGCTTTTATATAGAACATATAAGTATAACTGGTATAACAGTTTTCACTACTATTGTTGCCTTCAGTATAAATTTGTAAATTGCAAAAGTAAATAAGGCAAAACAATAAAATCATTACTTCTATGAGAAAAAGAGACCCTTAGAAGACTCTTAGAAACATTCAACATTCATAAAAATGTAATTCATCAAAATATAATTTTTACACAGACTGTATTCTAAGCTCACGCAATCAATTCAAAATTTAAATTAATGGTTTTTTTTTGTTTTTTTTTTTCATGTTTTAGACCACTGGTTTTACACTACAGTTTGCCAAAAGGCTTCAAGTAAACCTCCTTGTGAAACCTGCAAAAAAAATTGAGTAAGTGTTGTTTCATTATTTTGTTTTTAAATACATCTTTTTTCAGAAGTCTTCTTGGTCTAAAAGAACATTAGTAGAGAAGGGAAAAGAACAAATGAAAATACTTGATTAAAGTCTCTATTTCTCTCTTGCAAAAATTTCAGTCATGAATTTCCAGAGAATATTAATTTCAGTGAAAGAGCAAGCCTTCTTGTGCAAGGCACTGCCCAACAATTTTAGCACGTATTTGATTTCCCCACAGCAGCTTACAGTACAACATGTTCTTAAAAATAACATTGTTACAAAACCCAAATGCAGGGCATAAGGATGAAATAGAAGGAATAATATATTTTCTGCAATAAATCCAATGAGAGAGATAATTTATGTGTTCCCTGTTACTTGATGGAATTTATGAGAAAGGTTAAGGTTTATCTCACTATTTCTCTTATCTCCATTGGACCAAACGAACACGTACAGCTCCTGCATGCTGGGTACGGGTGAACACCACATAGATTTTCAGACCCTTTCTTCAACACTTGTCCAGCCTTTCTTTGTTCTGACTACCTCTCCATGGAAGACTAGACAGAAAGAGATAACTGCCTGACTGGTGAAATGTCTGTTCTTAATTGTAGGCTTTTTTTTTTTTTTTTTGATCCAAATCTACCAGATTTATCAAAAGGTACTTCCAGAAGACAGAACTGTTAGTGCAGATCGAAAATTGTTAAGTAGATATTGGCTTTATGAACCAAACTGAAGGTAACATGCTGTAATTTTTTTTTTCTTCTTCTCATTTCAGAGCTTTATCAAAAGTTAAAAAACCTTATGTCTTCCCCATTCTTTGGCTAAATGAGGTTAGTATACTTTCTGCCTATTAATCTTCACTGTTAAAAAAATACACACACACAAAATGACTTAACTTTTTCTGTCTTAATATCCTGAAATTGAGTGAATAAACTCATGTTATGATGTGCACGTGAGAAGAATATACTCAGTGAGTGAGGTCTTGTATGCTTAGTGTTCACTGACTTTTTTCTTGTACTGTTTCAGTCTGCTGTTATTGGGGATGCAAAAGCAGAAATGTTCAGAAAAAAAGTCTCTGGTCGGGTCCAGATGCTGAGTCTGCTGCAGATGGTGTTGATCATCACAGGTTCTGTGGTGTTCCTCGCATTCCTGGGTTCTTATTTCATATGCAGATCAAAGAAATTAAAATAAGTAAGTAAACATTAATGGCTCAGTCCTCAGTAGTAACTTCTTAAGGTCTGAGTTGTTCAGAATCATTACATATTTAGTTGTTATTTTTCAAGTGCTAGTAAAGTTCAGCAGTTATTATGCCAGTTCTGTTGAAAATCGTCTAGATAACCATTGTTTTCAAATTCTCTTCCCAACACTTAATCCATCAGGATACTCTTAACATACCAGGGAGGGTACTGGGATCTATTTCCAAAAGACCAAAACTTTTTTTTTTTTTTTTTTTTTTTTGGTCAAATATACAACTTAATCACTGTGACTTATTGGAAACAGACATTTTATCCAAAACTGTTAGAACACTTCAGAAGTGTACTCTTTGGGACAGAGGCTACTCAGATGCAGTTTCCTGCACTTTTCCATGGCATAGCCCTGTTTCTTAATAAGAATGTTGGATAGGCTTTCTCACTTTTTTCTCTCTGTCTTGCATCAGAATCACATTAGTCAAAACACATCCTGTTCACAGCTAGCCTACTAAAGCTAAATACAGTACTGTCATGGATAGAATAACCAAGTGGTGGATTAATGACATCGAGGGAAACAAGCAGAGATGTGAATATTATGGTGAAAATATCATGCTGTAGTAAAAATCTGTTTTTAAGAAGACTTACCTCATAACATGCTGAATTCTGATTTTATTTCACTACAGGTAATAAAAGACTTCAGATGTAGACAGTGTTTAACTGAAGTTTCAGCCAAGCAGCATGTTAAAATTTGGTGACAAAAGGTATGATTCAATGCACAGGCAGCCCATGTGCTATGGAATTCAGTGTGCTTTTCCATTTTGAAAAGACCAACTCACTAACCCAAATAAGATGTTTCCAGAGGCCCACACATATGACATCACTAGAGTGGCCACTGTGGAAATTATTTTTTCAAATAACTGATTACATGAACCTTGTTACAAATTTTAAAAGACATTCAAACAGACTGAAGTTGACATGCAGCTGGAATTTAGTCCACCTTCTGCCATATATGCAACTTGCTACGTTTTTTCTTCTGAGAACTGCAAGACAATTGAAAACCCTTTGCTGATGTTCTAGCTTGGAGCACAGGCTTGGGAATGACAATGTCTATGAGCTCAAGCCATACTCTAGATACTCTCATTGCAAAGTTTCTTTCTGTTCCTTCAAGGAATGGAATCTGCTGCAGTAGAACTGCTCTCTGTCCTCTATTCAGGGATGCAAACTGTGTTGAATGTGAAGTTTATTATGTAAAGTTACTAACCAGTAATACATGAAGTTAATAAATAACTTACTAAAATATATGGTTCATACATTTTATGAAGAGATGGCCCATACACACACCACAGTCATTCATATGTTGATGGCACTAATCAACATTTGACTTCACAGTTGTTTGGTAATCTGAGTTACTCACTAAATCCCAGCCTCCATTGCTCTTTGTATTGCCTCCTGTGTGCTTCCCTTTCTGGCTCTTGCTCAAACATCAGCCTCTGCTCTGCCTTAGCTCCACTTCACCTAAGGCCTCCCTTAGGGAATGTTATAATCCTTAAGACTGAATGAAAATATTTCAGAACATTTTGGACACAGGAAATACTAAGATAATGGTCAAACATCAGAGGGTTCCACTTTCTATGACAGAATATAAATTAAAACAGGTAGCCCCAATTCTTCTCTGATAAGCCATCTGCCACAAGGAAATATGTGCAATTGTGTGGTTAATGAAGTGCATTAACCTTACTGATGCCCATAGACAGGCAGCTGATATTTCCATCTGTGTAAATAGTTTACTTTTTCACTTAATCTGAATACATATCTTAGATATGAGGGTCAGTTGGACAGATATTGAACGTCACGGGGTCTCTCCTTTCTTTGGACTCACTGAATTCAGAACAATAGCCAAAGTTCAGCATTTCATAAAACTTCCCCTTGGAGCTTTTTTCCCTTTAAGAGCTGCAGAGAAAAAGGAAAATCAAACACAGGTCAGCCTGGTGTTTGGAAAGAGTGCTATAAACCAGAAAGACTTTAAACCAGAAAGATTTAATTCACTAGCAAATCTTTGGTCAGGTATCTTTAGCAAGCTGTTTTCACCCTTTGGAAAGAAACGGAAAAACCACAAAGACTAAACGGATGTTGTCTTAATCCCTAGTGTTTAATATTCCTTGTGTAGCTACCATTGTACATTAGAGCCGACAAATTACAAAAATCCCCAAAGACTATTCTTGGAGGGATGTTCTATGTACATTGCTAGTCTTTTTCCAGCCATGGTTTGGAACTCTAAAGTACCAGGGTGGGAGATGTGAGGGAAGCATGACACTCAAGGGAAGTTCTGATCACACTCAGAAAGCTGATATATTTAGTTTCTCCTTATTGTGCTTGCTAATTGATGGGAAAGAGAGAGAGAGAAAAAAAAAAAAAAAAAAAAAAGGCTTTTTCTCTTTGCTACATTGTTGCTGGTGTCATTTGTAATGCTCTGTTCCCACATTAACATGGGGACAGTTTGACACAACTGAAGGCATCCCTAGAGTCCTATGGACTGGTCAAAAAAAAAAAAAAAAAAAGAAAAAAAAAAAAGAAGAGCACAAGTAAAGGTATTAAGTCGCCTTCTCTTTTGAAACATAAATGTGCACAGCTCTGCTGTGGTTCAAGATCTGACACCAAGTTATTATAATAAAACTATTGTGTGTGTGTGTGTGTGTGTGTATGTGTGCTGGAATCTAATGGTGATATATTTTCACCAAAGAACAGTGGCTGTCGTGTTGATTTTGATACAACAGTATTTCAGCTTAATTTTCTTTGGCTTGAAGTCCATTGTCAGTACATTAAAGTTTGCTCTATTTGTGTGGTTTAGTGCTATGTGATGCTCTAGCATCAGTGATCCAGCAAGTCAGGCCATGATTTTAAATGTCTCAGGGCCCAATTTTGCATACATACAAATGTACAATGTTCTTATGTATAATCTAATTGATCTAAATGCAAGTTTGGATTTTTAAACTATGTTCAGCACCTAGGCTACACTTGAATTATAATTATAGTTATTTTGTTCAGAGCATTGGTTCCAGTTATTCTTAACTGATGTTATTAAGGCTAATGTTAATTATTTGCATTTGTTCAGACACATGTGGGATAAGCATTTATTAGGGATTTAAAGAACTCAATACAAATAAAATAAAGCTCAAAGTGTTTTTTTCTGAGTTCCATATGTCTAAGTGTAAATAAAATCTTCTGTGTTGGATAATGGACTCCATTTATTTATGTTCTTGGTATTTTTTGTTTTATTTTCTTTAAGATTGATTTTATAAAGTGATAAATAAATGAGTTTATAGCTAGCCTTTATTATATAATTGTAATTTAGCACATCCCTGCTGCTTTGAAGTGCATATCACCTTTTGTGCAAGTGTAATACACCATGTACCATGATGTATTATAAATGCCAGTGACATCTATTTATCCTCTGTGTTACAAAAAGTAGGAGGCTTGGGGGGGAGGGAGGGGGGGAGGAGCCTGACAGTGCTCATACCCCACGTTCACCGCCCACCCCAGGTCATTATGGGTGAAAATCACAGGTGAAAATCAGATCTAACCCAAGATCTACTAGCCCACATACAGCCCAGAGCAGGTGTGCCAGCTCTTGATCTCTAATTGTAATTATGCTTTCAAAGCCTTAAAACTTGTTCTTCATACCAAGCCTACCAGTGTCTGTTAAGGTAATATAAACATGACACGACACCCTGAAAAAGAGAAAGCTGATGTTTTGTTTGTCTTTTTAACTGGGAGATTAGGCAAACACTTGTTTTATTCATGGATGTGCAGAGTGTCAGCATTTAATAAGTAAAAGATGTAATAACTATTGAAATGCATTTTTTTTTTCAAAAATCAAAAAAAAAAAAAAAAGAAAGAAAAGAAAAGAGGCAAATTATTCACCTTTATCAAATGCAAACTGCATTTATGAATAGATGTCATATATTTTCTTTTCTCTGTTCCTTCTTTACATACCAGATTTCCCTGGCACTCCATCGTCACACCCACTCTGAGGTGTACTCAAAACAGCCAATGACCTAGAGCTCAACCAGCCAGTGCCAGGCTGGGGACTTTCTCAGCTGTACTGTGTAAGCAAAGAAGATAAATGCTTTGCAGTAGGCGCCACCCAAAGGGCATACAGTTTTTCACAAGTCGTTGTGTTTCACTTCAGTATAGCCAGTGAAAAGTATTACTGGCTAAAACTCATAGTTGCTTTTCGTGCCAGTTGACATCATCCAACATAATTGCATCATTTTAAAAGCAGTATGAGAAAAATCACAACTTAAGTATCCATTGAATGCTACACTGTCAAAGGCATCGCTAAGACATAATTTTTGATGCCCATTAATATTCCAGAGTGTTTGTTTCAGTTCATGTTTTCCCCTGAGTACTGTGAATTTGTGTTTTACAGGATACATGCCTAATGTGACCTGAGCCTTCAGGACTCTTTTTCTTGCCCAGCAAGCACTAATGTACCACTAAGAGTTTATGGACAAGTTGGGATTTACATAGAGCCACCTGCATGCTCTTATACCTGACTCAGGTTTTGGATGCACCTAAAACATATTTGCATATTTATTTGCAATAGAATATTTGCATGTAGGACAAGGAAAATCAAATTTTTGTTCCTTCTTATTAATTTTCTCCAAATGCACAGCCCACGTATAAGAATTCTTTTAAAGGTAAATTTCTCCAGTGACACTTTCATTACAGGAGCTAAAGCATGAATGGCACCTCAAACCAGCAATGGAAGGTATACATGTAAGTATGCTGGAGGTGCAAGTATGTCTGTGTACTGATACATAAAGCCATTTTTTTTTCTGTGTTCTTAGAACAAATATGAAAGTACATTCTTCTCTGTGTATTCACTCTACAGATGTAGTTTTTTTGTCTTTGCTCTGGTCACACAGTGGGTCCAGTTTGTAAAACAAGAAGAAAAAAAGTTATTACAACGATTAATACACACACACACATCCCCACGCTGACTGTAATGTTGCAGCAACTTCATTTTGTTCTGCAGTCTTGATGACTTCAACCTGTTTATCCTCAGCAGAATAAACTGAAGACTACTAAAAAAATCACAAAAGTGGAACCAGGGGCCTATTATTATTATTATTATTATTATTCCTATTAGCGATGGGGAAAACAAACAAACAAACAAACAAACAAACAAAAAAAACAACCTTGGCAAAGCATAACCTTTATTTCAATAACAAGTCAGTGCAGTTAAGAGGTTAATTCAGGAAATCTTCTCTAGTTGCCATCTAATCTACCAGGCAGCACTCAGGAACATCACCCACATTGCTGAAAGGATGTAAGTACATGCTTTGTGGGTAAGATCATTTGGGATTCAAGTCTGATCATGCACACAATGGTTCTAGCAGTAGAAGTAAAATACTGAACACAGGTATCAGCCATAAAATCAAATATGTGGGTTACAAAAGCACCAATTTTAATGTGAATTATTTAGATTACATTAGCTCAGATTGCAAGTGTGTATTATTTTTCAGATCATACCTTCAACTGAAGTTGGAATTGTACAAGAAGGTGCTAATCCACAAAAATGAAGGGGATCTTTGACATCCTTTAGCCACTGGTTGAGAAATATGGGACTACTGTTATGCTGTATTTAATGTTTACTGGATTAAAACCAGAAGTAATCTAATAATCAAGGACCAGAATCTCTTGATTTCCCTTTCTAGTCAGGTGCAGTAACAGCAGCACAAATGCTAAATGCACCTTCTTCTTAAGGAAAGTGAAAGATATAGTGCTTTTTGGAGTTAAAATCTTCTATTACTTCTATGAAAACATATGAAGAGCCAGATTTTACCCTGTGCTTCATATGAATTCCTTCCCGGGGCTGAGTACATCTTGGGCGTTGCAGCACCAGCTATCAGAACTCTTAAGTACTTCTGTTCAATACTGCTTCAACCCTCATGAGGGGCTGCTCTGTCTGGAATATGTGCATGAGGAGGCTGGAGGTCCCTGAAGTCTGGTCAAATGTCACACAAAAATAAGGAAAGGCAAGTCTACACAGACAGTTAAGCATGGCAATGCCTCATACCCACATGGAAAACTTTCAAAAGTATGCTTAGATCGGAGTCAGCTAAGAGTGCCAGTCCTGCTATTTGTTTCACAGCATCATGAATGTAAGAGTGTTTAGTGGTCCTGGCTGTGGTGGTGGTGGGCTGACAATGTGGAAGACTCCCACATAGCAGGCTAATAGCTGTTATTCTGTGATGTCTAATATAAGTTTATTCATTTTTAGCTGAAGATTGAATATTATGAAAATTTTCACATTTCACAAAGATTCAGAACAAATGAAATAGATGAGTTTAAAGCTGTCATGTTTTCACTACCTTAAACTCATATAATTGAGTTTGCATTTCAGCCTCTGGGATGCAGCACACACAGCAGACAGTTTGAGCAACTCTCTGATTAATCATCTCTGAGCTGAGACCTGTTAAATGGTGTTACTGATTGTTTAAATCTTTGACAAGTGGTTAAACTTGTCTATTTGGTTTCATCTGAAAGAAACAGGAAATTGTCACTGTAGCACAAAGGATGATGAAAGAGGTTTGCAGACAAAAAAGATTTATTTGTGAGGTCCATATGTCACGATATATAGCAACTGCAACAGAATCTTTTTCATTTGATCAGTACAGAGAAGGAATGGGAAAAAGAGAAAGGTGGGGAGGGGTGGGGTGGAGGAATTTTCCAAAGTAGTTAGCCTGGATGAGAAGTGACAGATGTCCCTCCAGATGAACATCATTTTGGGGACATCCTTTACAGTGTAACATTACTTGCAAATAGCTAAATAGCTTTTTGAAAGTAACTGCAGTTACATCATGATCTCACCACTGTTTTCTGTCACTCATTCCTCTGATAGAGCTGACTTATGCATGCTTGAGCCAGGAACAGATTTTGCACGTGCTAATTGGCTGTTAATTCTTATGTCTGTGCATTGCTGGGAAATGTTACTTTTCTATCTGAACATCTCTTATTATTCTCTGTTAGTTCATAATATATATTTTTAAAGTAAAAATTATGAAATGAGGAATGAATTGTAGAGGGAGAAAAGAAGGAACTTGTGTGGCAATGGCAATGACTTCTGACAAGACCCAAGAGAGCAATTTCTGAGTTCCCCTGTGCGAAGCAATGAAGATAAAAAGTATTCGCTAAGATTAGGACAAGAAGAACGGCCACAGACAAAAGCAGGCATGTTCAGGAAGATGGCTACAAGCAAGTGAAGTGCTCCTTGAGTGGGACTGCAAGGCTGTACCCAAAAAGCTCTGAGCACTGCACAGGCTGAAGAACCAGAAGCATCATCCCACTAGTGAGTTTGCTTCCCACCAATCCCCTATTCATTGATGATACCCTAGAAAGTGTGGTTGTATGCACATGGAAACAAACCAGGGAAAACAGGAATGCTGTGAATATTCTCAGTTGCCTCACTGTATGAAAGCAATATATCTAAGTATATATATATATTTAATAATAATAAATATATTTATTTACTTATTTAGCATATAGTTTAGGAAGGCCTGGGTCTCCCATAGAGTCCATGTCATAATTATCATCCATCATGAGTGTTTCAAATATCCCAAAGCATGTCATGTGGGAAGTCTTCCTAGATCATTCTATAATCTCTTTCCATAGATGTACTCTTCACACCTGAGTACTTATACGGAACCTTCCCCAAAGTTCTTTGTGGGCAGAAAAGAGAACTGAATGAAAAGATATCACAACTAAATAGCTCATAAGCAGATTTGTATTAACTCCTCTTGCCAACCACCAACCTCTTCTAAACATTTTTTTTTTTTTTTACAGACACTTTCTGGATGCTCCAAAATGCACTTGAGAATATATAACTTCTTGCAGCCTGAAACCCTGAATAATATAAATAATTAAATAAATAAATGAAAACTAAATAATAATTAAAAATGCACATTTTACAGTTTTGGCTTTTGAATTTTGAGGGGCACATTCACGGAATCACAGAATCACAGAATCAATCACATAACAGTTGAGGTTGGAAGGGACCTCTGGAGGTCATCTGGTCCAACTCCCTGCCTAAGTAGGGATGCCTTGAGCAGGTCTATTCAGGACCATCTCCAAGTGGCTTTTGAATCTCTGCCCAGGAAAGTGGTGGAGTCACTGTCCCTGGGAGTTTTCAAGGAAAGGTTTGACCTGGTGCTTAGGTACATGGTTTAG